ATACATGGCTGGCTGAATCAAAATGACCAACACTAGTCCATTTCAAATAGCTGGTGCCTGTTGCTGTTGTTGTTGTTGTTGTTGTGTATGGTCAAGTCAGAACTGACCTGTAGCTGACCCCCCAGCAAGTTTTCAGAGGCAGTTAATCCTGCAGAAGGAGATTGTCCATCCTTTTCCCACGGAGCAACTGGTGGATTCGAACTGGATGCCTTCATGACTGCAGCACAGTTTCTTACCACTAGGCCACCAGAGCTCTAAGCTATAGATATTAAAGTATCCCATTTCATTTTTTATGACTTCCAGTTTTCCTTTGTGTGTACTTTGTATGTTCCATATTACAATTATTAATGTATGTTCACAGCTAATTTCTTCTCATTTTTTAAATCATGCCTCATCAGCTAATGACGGTCCTAAAAGTTTCACCCCATCTATATCATTAAAGAAAAACCTTCTTTGATAAGACATCACCTCACTGGTTGCATCCAGAGTCATTTCTAACCAGGGGAACTAATTTTCTGGCACTGTATCAAAAATGTTCCGCTGCTATTCATGAGGTTTTGCCTGGCCAGTTTTGTCAGGAGTAGAATTCCAGATGGTTCTTTCCAGCCCGCCTTAGTCTAGAAGCTCAGCTGAAAGCTGCCTGCTTTTGATGAATGCTGATGTTTTAAATACCAGTGCCCCAACTTCCATAAACACAGCAATGTATCAATCACCGCAGTATAGCAAACGGATGGGTGGTGGAAAGCACTCTTAGACATAAGCAATGGGAAAAGCATTCACTTTGGGAATTTCTGGTATTGATGAGTGTACTGTATGGCTAGAACATAGAGGCATTTATAAACCCTTCTGATCATTAGCCATGGAGTCTGGAAAGGGGAGCCTCCTGAGAAGATAAAAGAAAGTCTCAATGTGTGAGAAAGACTTGGCAGTCTGCTCCTGCAAAAAAATTACAGGCTAGAAAATACAACTCTGTCATGTGGAGATGCTAAAGTTAAAAAATCAACTCAGTGACACTTATTATCAGATATGTGCCCAAAAGGCTTGAAAGTGGGAAAAACACTTTTACACAAATGTTCACTGAAGCATTACTCATAATGGTCAAAAAAATATGTCCATCAGGGAGCTTTGATGGCCTAGTGGCAAGAAGCTGCACTGCTATCTCAGAGGTACGCTGTTTGAATACACTATGTGCTCTGCTGGAGAAGGAGGGGCAATCTCCTCCTGTACCAATCAGATCTGATTTGATGGTACACACACACACACACACACACACACACACACAATTATGTCCATCAACAGATGAACAGATAACCAGAATGCACCAAGACCAAAACTCTGCTATCACACTGGTGCCAACTTAATCTAGTAACCCTACATTTCCGAGGCTGTAAATCTCTGTTGAAGGAGACTGACCATCCTTATCCTGTGGAGTTCCTGGTGAATTCAGACTGCCAGTCTTTTGGTTTGTAGCCCAATACAATACACACTACACCACCACTGGAATATTACTCACTTTTTAAAAATTTAAGTTTCCATAGACGCCAATACATGCATGAACTTTGAAATCGTTATGGTAAGTGAAATAAGTTATACCCAGAAGGACAAATATTCTATAATATCATTCAAATAAAATCTCTAGAATAGGCAAATGAACAGAGATCTAAGTTTATTAGAGGCTATCAAAAACTGATGGGAAGAAGGAAGGGAAATAAATGCTTAAAAGGCATGGATTTTCTGCTGAGGATCATGAAGGAAACTTGGACACTGTCAGTGGTAGTGTTTGTACATAAGATGAAAGTGATAATGTTACTTAATTGTGCAAGAATGGATAAGACAGGAAAAAAATTTATATATAGATTTTACAACATAAAAAAAAATACAGAACGACATTTTAAAAAGCAGACACCCAAGCTTAGTTTAGTGGCTTGATCCAAAAGGTGTGAAATAGTGAAGGGAAAGTTCAATACTAAGGGCTGTAGGAGTTTATTTTGCTATGCTAATCCAGAAAAGCCAGCAGCCAGGAAATTAAAAGACAAATTTCATGGGGAAAGTGTGCTATCAGAGACCTCTTCAAAGTACTGAAGGGCAACAATGTCAGGAGATTAAGCTGCACCTGATACAGGCCATGTTCTTTGCAATTTGTTTGCTATGTATCGGAAAGCTGGACAAGGACTAGGGATGATAGTAGGAGAGTTGATGCCTTTGAGCTGAGGTGCTGGAGAAGAGTACTGAGGATACCATGGACTGCTAGGAGAACAAACAGGTTCATTCTTGAGAAAATGAAGCCAGGCTGCTCCTTGGAGGCAAGAATTCTGAAGCTTCGTTTGACATACATTGGACATATTGCAAGGCAGGATCAGTCCTTGGAGAGAGATGTCATGCTTGGGAGGATGAAGGGACAGCACAAGAGAGGAAGACCCTCAACGAGAAGGATTGATTCAATCACTGGGGTAATGGGGGTAGGTGTGTCAGAGATAATAAGATTGGCACCGGATAGAGCAGGATTCAGAGCTAATGTGTGTAGGTTCGCTATGAGACATAGGTGGCTCGACAGCACATAACAACAATAATCTAGAAAACATAAATTACATCGGAGGAGCTAAAAAGAAAAGAAGAAGGTGTTATCACATCCCACACTAGGGGCATGAGGACAATGATGCGGCAGGCTTGTGACATCTGATTGGGCAATTCTCCACAGACGTTAGAATGACAACCCCCAAACCCCCACAACTACAACTCTGAGTGGTGTTACGTGACCATTTCTACAGCAGCCATTGTGCAGAGGTGAGTGTGGAAAGGAGAGTTTAACAAGTCACCTGATGACACGTTTTGTTAGGTAACCTATAGCTCTAGATAATAAGCCATAATTAGCCAAGCTGTATTCAAGACTGAAAATCCTTGGACTTTTCAAAATGACCTCAAAGTGACACTTCGGTGAATAGAACCTTCCAAAAGTTGTTCTGGGATGCTCTTCTAAAAAAAAATTATTTTATTTTGATTTCTTTACCAAGTTCGAATTCATTGTTTTTTCACAAAAGATTCTTTCCGTTTCCTTCACCTCACCTACTCATCTAATTATGCAGCCCTATGATTAACACCCCCCTACCCCACCACCCATCCTCACCCCTCTATTTCCATCCTCCCCACCCGCACCCCCACCTTGGATCTTCATACTCCTTCTACAATAATGGTTTTATACAGTATTTGTCCTTGAGTTAGTTCACTCAGCATAATGGGGCACTTTTAACATTCAGATTCTGAAGTAAATATTCAGTGAAAAATACTTGAGCATTTGGTGTAATCTTACTTGCCTCTTTCTTGTTTTCATTTTCTTCATATTGAATTTGAACTTGCTTGTGTATAGTTGATAGTCTATTCTAAAATCAGTCCCTGGCCTTGTTTTAACTGCTGATAATTTTTTTTTTCATTTTTATTTTTTACTATTTTGTGGGTGTGTGCTGTCAAATCAGATCTGACTGGTACAGAAGGAGTTTGCCCCTCCTCCAGCAGAGCATCTGGTGGATTTGAACCGTATACCTCTGGGATTACAGTGCAGCTTCTTTTGACTGCTGATAGTGCCATTTTCTACCCTCTTTTCCACAGAGGCAGTCAATCTGATTCCTGTGTAGTTTACCAGGTGAGGTTCTAGTGTAGAATCATTGTTTATGGTCTTGTGGGTTTTTAATATTTCAATGAATTTGTGATTGTATAAAATTCTACCATTTGATTTCTAGCCTTATTTCTGTCATCAAAACATATTTTCCAATGAGCGGACCCTTTTTTGTTTTCAACTCTTGCATTCCAGTGTCCACTTTTCATTAAAGCATCTTGAGTTCCTGTTCAATTGAGAGACAAGGATGATGAAACATTGTCTCACATACCATGGGCGTGTTGTCAAGAGGAGACTGTCCTTGAAAGAAGGCGTCATGTTGGGAAAGGCAGAAGGTCAGCAAAAGTGAGAAGACCCTAAATAAGAAGGACTGACAGAGTAACTATAACAGTGAACTTGACCGTGGCAGAGATCCATGACGATGGGGCAGGATGAGGCAAGGGCCAGGTCTTTTATTCTTAGGATCCCTCTGAGTTACAGTCAACTCTATGGCACCTAACAATCTAACAACTTGCCTCTGATTGACTCTGAGGACAGAAAGAAAAGATGACGATGAGGTAGGGCTATCAGTGCTTTAGCTCCTTCCGTGATGTTTATGTCTTTACGAAGAGTAGAAATGAGGAAAAATGACAAGCAATATTTCCATCATAAAATTTAGATGGTGAATGTATGAATGCTGTTCGGGGTACTTAGAATGCTGCTAGTATGTTCAGAATATTGCATAATTATAATATTTTTAATTTAACAAATTACATTTTGCTTCTAAAACATATATCACTCTTTTTTTATGTTAGTATTTGTGTGTGTGTGTGTGTGTGTGTGTGTGTGTACCATCAAATCAGATCTGACTGGCACAGGAGGAAATTTTCCTTCCTTCTCCAGCAGATCATCTGGTGGATTCAAACCACATACCTCTGGGATTGCAGTGCAGCTTTTCCCCACTAGGCCACCAGAGCTCCTTCATATGTTACTTTTTTTTTTAAAGAACCATCTATCAAGGTTCTGTGGTCAGATAGTCCAAATTAATCTCAGGGGTCAAGCACAAGTTTATGGCTTACTCAGTTTATCAATCAACACATGCAGAAGTGGAACCAAATCCCCGCTCTGAACACACTAGCTCTGCCATCCTGTGCAAGTCATTTGCCTCCTATGTTTATCTGTAAAATGGGCATCGTCTATTGTAAAAGGCATAGCAGTAACGTGGCCTTGTCCCTGCCACTAAGTAGGCATCACGTGTTAATGCTGCACCATTCTTCTTTGAAGAATGAACTTTGCAGGGAGGGAGATGCTCACTGAACAAAGCTCTGAGGGGAAGTCAGCGGTTCTCATGATAAGAGCTAAGGTATAAAGGGAGCCGAGGGCCGGGCCTCGCAGCCAGCAAAGAACAGCTATGAGGTTCATCCTGTCCCTGAGTCTGATTGCTACAACCCTTGCAATCGCTCCTACCCGCTTTGACAGGTAAGGCTTAGTGTTCTTCCAATCTTTTGTGTGGAATGAGGGATTAAGGAATGTTTCTTGACAGTTCACATTTCTCATCTTTTTTCATTCTTAAAGGGAAAAGGTATTCCGTGTGAAACCCCAAAATGAGAAACAAGCAAACATCATAAAAGACTTGGCCAACACCGCAGAGGTAAAATGTTTAGAAGGCTGTTTTATTCTTTCTTTCAGTTCTCTAAAAGTTGCTCATTATTTCTTTATCTCTCTCTTTTTTTCTTTTTAATCTTGTCAATGCTCCTGCCCTCTTTACAAAAGAGGCCTTTTAAAGAAGACTGTTACACATAGGTCAGTTCTTTGAAATCGTTCTAAGCAGATTGTCAGGTTGGTTGCAACATATTTTAACCTTGCGAACGTCAGTATAGAATTGTGTCCATTTGCTCAGAAGTAGATTGGCACATCTTTCTTCTGCTGTGCCCCTGAATGGATCTGAACTGCCAATCTTTCAGTTAGCCAAACAATTGTTTGCATCACTCAGTTATTATCAGGTCAGAATCAACTCACAGCTGACTCTTCAGCGGGTTTTCAGAGGCAGTAAATCTTAGAAGAGAAGACCGCCCATCCTTCTCCCTGGAGGAGCCGGTGGATTTGACCCAACAGCCTTCAGGTTGGCAGTGCAGCTCCTAACTAGACCCAAGAGCTCCACTCGAAGTCTCTTTAAAATCCACAGGGCTGAAATAGTCACCGTGTCATTTATTCAGCTCTTGTGACACTGAAAGTCTGTCATGTCTATTACCTAGTCTACCTCATTTCCAATTCTCTAACCTCCACCAGCCTCTGCAGCTTCCTGCTCCCCACCCACCTCCTCGCTTTTCACAGCCCAGCAACTCCCCCCACCCACTGACTTTGGTCCTTTATAGATTTTCCAATGAAGAGTGAGTTTCTCTCCTTTTTATCCGGCTCAAAACTCAAACAAACCCACTGCCATCAAACCAGTCGTGACTCAAAGCGGCTCTGCGGGACAGAGCAAAACAACCCCTTAGACTTCCCAAGACTGTAAACCTCTACAGAAGCAGAGCACCCCATCTTTCTCCCTCAGAGCTGCTGATAGGTTCAAACCACTGACCTTTCAGCCAGCAGCTAAGCATTTTAACCAGTGTTCACCCTGGGCTCTTTTATCTGGCTCAAAATGCATAACTCAAACTCACTCTGGTTCCTCCGATTCATAGCTGACTCTCCATTAGGTTTAAAAGACTGTACATCCCACTGACAGGATTTGAACTACAAGACAAGTGTGGCTTTTAAGCAGCAAAACGCACTGTAGATGACTTTACCTGGTTACCTCCTGCTTCTCCAAGACCTGATTCAGGCAGCGTCTCCTACAGGAAGCTTTCTCTAACCACTCACTCCTGTCACACTATTTGGTCCCTCAAGCACCCTGTAGTTTCCTGTAGTTTGGAATATATAGCTGTTTTCCACGTTAAAACCCTTGTTTCTTTTAAGTTCCTCCGTAGCTTTTAAAACTGTGGCATCCAGTTCTGTGCCTAGAGCTCTTGAATGCTTTTGAAACTGCATTGAGCTCTGCAATCTTCTTCATATCATCCTTATAGAACACAGATTTGTGCTTATGATTAAATAGTCCTGACTAAATGGTCCTTTAAATCATACACCTTGAATATCCAAGGAGCCCTGTCAACATACCGTATCAGGCTCCTAACCCAAAGGTGTTACTGTTGCTGTGTACCGTCAAGTTGGAGCAGACCCACAGCTTGCCCTCTGACAGGTTTTCAGAGGCAGGAAATTGCACATCAGGAGATTGCCCATCTTTCTTTTACAGAGCAGCTGGTGAATTCAAACCACGTATTTTAGGTTGCCCATTATCCCAGTCACTGTGTCAATCTGTCTCATCTGGGGTCTTCTTCTCCTGCGCTGTCCCTCCACCCTTCCAAGCATGATGTCCTTCTCCAAGGACTGGTCCCACCTAGCCACGTGCCCAAGGGATGTGAGACAGAGCTTCAAAACTCTCACCTCTAAAGAGAAACCTGGTGTTATCCTCTCCAAGACAGATCTGTTTGTTCCTTTGACAGTTCATAGTATGTTCAGTGGGTGTGTCGGAGTCAGTGAGACTAGCTCAGCATAGAGCAGACTTCAGAGCTGTTGTACATAGGGCCACTATGAGTCACAGGTAACTCAATGGCACATAATGACAATTTTAGGTTAGCAGTGCAGCTCCTTACCACTAGGCCACACGAGCTCTTAAATCAAAAGTGGGTAGTTGGAATCCATCAGCCTTTCCCGAGGAGAAAGAAGGACTCAGAAATAGGAGGGAGTGTGTTGCTGAGACAGCATCAAGCTGATAGGAATGGGTTTGGTCCAGTCTCTGTCTGGGCATTGATTTTTGTTTTAAAAAAAGAAAAGAAAACCCAAACAAACCAGACAGATTGTTTTCTAGCAGCATCATATTGACATATAATTGACTGAAGTTGAAGCAGAGTGAGAAGTAACTAAGGCACAACCGGGTGACTTAGTTCCAAGTGTGGAACGACTGGCAGGAACCGAGTGCCTTCCTCTCTGAAGAGGCTGAGTTGGGTTTCAGCAAATTGAGAGCTATCTCCAAAAAAATGACAAGAACTGGAATCTTCCCAAAGTTCAATTTGGTTTGTTTGTTTTGTCTTCACAGACTTAGTGCTCTCCTTCTAGGACTATTCACCAAAGTCCTGAACTTCTCAGCTAGGAGATGAGAAAGGGAAGGGACTTGACAGGGGTCAGATGCCTGCACGTCGCAGGCTTCATTTCTAATCAGCCACTTTCACAGCCCTCTCGATGGAGTCACGCCAGCTCCAGTTTCCAGGGCAGAACACTGACATTTTTAAAATATTACAACTTGTCCAGGGATGTACTGTTGGAAAAATGACAGAGCTGAGAGGTTACGACATGTGTTGGATACAAACCTTCCAAGAATTCCAGAGTCCACAAGGGGCATCTGGTCTTGGGGCCTAACTGAGCGGAATTTAATCTAAATTCTCAATTACAGCCAGATGCTCTGGCTAAATCATTTGGGAAGCAATCCAAATCAGGCCCAAATTGGTAGAAGGAAATAGAGCAGCCAAAAGTCAATCATTCTTGCTGTATTTATTTTCTTTTATTCATTCTGCCCTTAAAAGGGAATTCTGGGGATTATAATGCTTCAGTGGTGAGCTCTGGGGCATAGTCCGGACGTTATGCTGTTAACCCAAAGGTTACTACTCTTCTCTGGCTATTCAAATCCACCACCAGCTCTTGACAGAAGGACAGGAAACCTCCTCTCACACAATTTACAGCTTCAGAAACCAAATAGAGGGTTGCTCTATGTTGGTTCCAACTCAACTGTAGTAAGTTGGGTTAAGGTGGTTTTGTTGGTTTTTTTTTCCCTTGGAGAGGTTGGTTTTAAGTGTTTCATATGCTCTCATGCTCACTCAAAAGTCAGGTGTTCAAACCCACCTGCCACTCAATGACCAAATCTAGTCATCGTTTCTGTAAAAATCCCAGACATGGGGACCCCATAAGGCAATTCGACTCTGATCAATCGGACTATTAGGAGTCCAGATTGACTTGACAGTGATCAGTTTCGACTTTTTTTGATGGTTGGGAGAAGTTCTGTTTTGAAAAGTGGTCAACATAAACAATTGTTTACTCATTCTTGAATATTCAGTATGATCAACATAAACAATTATTTACTCATTCAGTAGTTTTTAAATGTTGTTTTTGTTGTTGTTTGCCATCGAGACAAGCACAACTCATAGCCATCCTATAAACAAAAGACCTGAAGCCTTTCTATAACTATCGTCGTTTTTCATAGAGTTTCCAGAGGCAAGTTGTTTAGGAACTGGATGCCACTCCTGCTTCCAATACACTCATAAAAATCTCATAAACTCAGGGAGCTCTGGTGTCCTAGGGGCAAGAAGCTGCACTGTCATCCCAAAAGTGGATGGTTCAAATCCAACAGATGCTTTGCTGGAGAAGGAGAAACAATCTCCTCCTGTACAAGTCAGATCCAATTTGATGATACACACACACATACACACACAAATTAAAAATTTTTTAAAAATCTCATAAACTTATTAAGAAGGTCTCCTACTCTCTGGAGGCCTAGTGGTGAGGGGTCGTTCTGCCATCCCTAGGGCTCACAGTTCGAAGCCACCAGCTGCTCCACAGGAGAAAGATAAGCAGTCTCTTCCCATGCAATTTCTAGCCTCTTTTTTTTTTTTTTGTCAATGCACACTTTGTGCATCTCTTTTAAAAAAAAAAAATTCTTATTAATTTCAATGACAATTTACAGAGAGTTCGGATTTCCATTCATTCATTGTTGCACTTTTCTTCCCTCCCAACCCTCCCCACCAGTACACTACCCTCTTGAAAAGTAAAAGAAAAATTCTTTCACTGTTTTACAATCCCTCCCCCCAGATCCACTCCACTATGCAGCCTTCTCTCAGGACTCCTGTCATGACAAAAATACCTAATAACTTACCCCTCTTAAACTTTTCTCCCTCATCTGTTTCAGTGCCATATACATTATTGAACCCATCTTTCTCAGCCTCCCCCAACCCCGAGGTCAGCCCTGTTTTACAACAGTGGCACGATGCAGTATTTGTCCCTTTGTGACTGAGAAACTTCACTCAGCATAATGTTCTCCAGGGTCACCCATTTTGAATAATATTGCATGAGTTCCTTGTTTTTCAATGCAACATAGTATTCCATTGTGTGACAATACCACAGCTTCTCTATCCAATCACTTTTTGATGGGCACTTAGGTTGTTTCCAACTCCTTGCTATTGTAAACAAAGCCGCGATAAACATGGGTGTGCATATATCTGTTTGGATGTCAGTTATGGTCTCTTTGGGGTATATTTCCAGTAGTGGAATTGCTGGATCAAATGGTATTTCTATTTGCAACTTTTTGAGAAAAGGGCCATATTGCCTTCCACAGTGGTTGCACTATTTTACATTCCCACCAACAGTGAATAAGGGTTCCAGTTTCTCCACAACCTCGCCAGCATTTATTGCTTGCTGTTCTGTTAAATTTTGCTATTCTAACTGGGGTGAGATGATATCTTATAGTTGTTTTGAATTTCTAGCCTCTTAAAACCCACTCTATAAATCGGTTTCAAGTTGATGGCACCGAACAACAGCAGACTTTGGTCACCTCTAAAACTCAAAATCCTTTTGTGTGTGATGACACATAACGATGTCTAATAAATATATGTTGGATGAGCAAGCAAATAGCTGTAACTAACAGACACTGGGTTCTCCTTGGCAGCTTGACTTCTGGTATCCAGATGCCACTCACCATGTAACAGCTAACATGACGGTGGATTTTCGTGTGAGTGAGGAGGACTCCTGGGCCATCCAGTCATCATTGGAGAAAAATCAAATGCACTATGAGTAAGTTCCACATAACTATCCAGTCGTGTCTGCTAGTCAAAAGGTGCAGGGGTCTTGAGGCCTGCTGTTGAGTCAATCCCAATGTACTCCAGGGTCAGAGTACATCTGCCCAGTCATGTTTTTACTGTTTTAGTTTTTGTTTCAACTCCGATGAATATCTTTCATGATTTAATTCAATTGTCAGTGCAGAAATAAATGCTGAACTATCTGAAGGCAAGGAAAAGAGACATGACCGCACAAGTCTGAGAACTCAAGACATTGGATGACTTTCTGCCATGAGAGACCTTTATGTCACAATATTGGAGAAAGAGGCAGCATTGAGCTAATTTCAGAACTGCAGGATGGCAAAAATCAATGGAGGTTACAATGTTGTCGTTTGTTGTTGTTGTTAGATGCTGTTGAGCCAAGTATGACCCAAAGCAAAGCTATGAACAACAGATATGAAACGTGTCCTATCCTGTGCTGTCCTCGTGCTTCCTAACAAACTAGACACATTCTACTGCTAATGTAATGGATGTTAAATTAGTTAAAGGATGTTTTCCGTAATTTTTTGTTTATTTTTTAAATTTTTTTGCAAACATCTAAGTCATCTTTAATCGACTGTCCTTTATTTATTTTATTTTTTTTATTTATTTTTTTAAATTTTTTACAGACATCTAAGTGGTCTTTAATTGACTCTCCTTTCCTTTGTTTATGTGGTGTGTGGTACAAAGCAGTAAAATGTTCCAACGGGGTAAATATAGAATTCTTTTGGCACTAAAATCTGCCATGTTTTGAGCCTCTGTATGGTAAGCAGAGTTGGCATTTAGCAACGAATCTAGCAAGGAAATAATAAAGAACTAAATCTAAAAAATCCATAACATAAAAGAACAATTAGTAATCTGAAAGTCTTTCTTTTACCTATCTCTGAGAAGTAGGAACATTAATATATTTTCTAAAGCTTATTTTTAACTTACATTTTTTTCCTCAGTGAATTTTTTCATTCATATACTTTGTTTCACAAATTCCTTCATTCACATTGTTTTCATATAATCATTTCCATACATTGAGTCTTACAAAATAAATCACCATTGACCTAGGTTCGCTGTTAATCTGCCTTTTCAGATCCTCACTGGATCGTTTCTAATTCCTTCACCCCCTCCCTCCACACACCAAACTCTGTCACCCCGTGATTTCTTCCTCTCCTCACCCTCTGCCCTCCTGCCCATCTCTTTCCCTCTTTAGACATTCATACACATTTTACTAAGACATTCATACACATTTTACTAGTTATCCTTCTAGTTTTACAATAATGACCGTATGCTTTATTTGTCTTTATAGGACTGAGTTACTCAGCATAATACTCACTAGTCTCTCTCATGTTAGATAGTATTTTTAAAAATCGTTAGTCCTGCATAGTATTCCATCATGTGAATGTACCAAAATCTCTCAATCCATTAATTTATTGATGTACATATGGGCTGTTTCTATTTTCTTGCTATTATGAATAACACTGCTATGAACATTGGTGTACAAAACTTTGTGTTCTATTTTCCTTGGGATATATTCCCACCTGTAAATTCCTGGGGCCTTGCCTTTTGCAAATTCCTTCAGAACAACTTGAACTTCTTCCATCATCACCACACGCTCTTGCTCATATGTTGTCATGAAATTCTTCTGTCTTAGCAAATTCCTTTTGGTACAGTGCCTCTGTAGATTCCTTTCATCTTCTGTAGATTCCTTTCATCTTCTTTTAATGCTTCCTGGATCATCTAATATTCTGCCCAAAACATCCTTAAGTATTGCAACTTGTGGCTTTAATTTGTTCTTCAGTTCATTCAGCTTAAGAAATGCTGAGCGAGTTCAGCCCTTTTCATTTTCTGACTCCAGCTTTTTGCACATTTCATTTTAATACTTTGCTTTGTATTCCTAAGATGCCCTTTGAAATCTTCTGTTCAGTTCCTTAATTTCTTGATTTCTTCCCTTTGCTTTGGCTTCTCAGCGCTCTAGTGCAATATTCAGAGTCTCATCTGACATCTATCTTGACCTTTTCTTCCTCCTCTGCCTTTGTGATAATCTTTTGCATTCTTCATGGATACCAGCAGCCAGGAAACCACGAGATGAATTATATTGGGAAAGTTAGCTGTAAGACTTCTCCAGAGTACTGAAGAGCAACAATGTCAGTCTGGACACTAAGATGCTCCTGATTCAGGCCATAGTCTTCACAACTGCGTGCAGTGCATCAGAGAGCTGGACAATGACTAGGGATGATAGAGAATTGATGCCTTCAAGCTGTGGTGCTGGAGAAGAGTGTTGAATATGCCATGGACTGCCAAGAGAACAAACAGGTTTGTCCTAGAGAGGATGAAACCAGGCTACTCCTTGGAGGCAAGGATACTGAGGCTTCGTCTGACATACTTTAAGCATGTTGCAAGGACGGACCAGTCCTTGGAGAAGGACATCATGCTTGGAAGGGTGGAGGGATGGAGAAAGAGAGGGAAACAATCAATGAGATGGATTGAGACAGTGACTGGGATAATGAGGGTAGGTGTGTCAGAGACAGTAAAGTTGGCACAGGACAGAGCAGGTTTCAGGGCTGCTGTACATTGGGTTGCTAAGAGTCGCATGTGACTCGACAGCACATAACAACGACATATTCCTAGCAGTGGAATAATGGATCATGTGGAATTTCTATGTGCAGCTTTTTGAGGAAATATCAAACTGCCTTCCAGAGTGGTTGTACCATTTTGCAATCCCACCAACAGCGTACGAGAGTATGGCCTGTTTTTTGAGCGTCTCTGGTTGTCTTCCAACCACCAGCTTTTCTGCTAGTTGTCCAGCACTTAGTCTTTTAAGTCAACAGAGGCTCCTGAGCAAAGTATTACAATGCAACCATTTCTTTAAAGGGACCCCCAAACCTAAAGTTTCTTATTAGATAAAACTCACAGTTACTGCCAGGCAGACTGTTAAGTCCTGCTTGTAGAAGTAGTGAGATCAAGCTCGGCAGTGTAACTTCTCCTTTACATTTGTTCTCATGTGCAAGAACGTGGCAATTCCCTGTATTTACCATCTCCCCTCAGAGATGTTGTCAAGATGGACTGACCCAGTGACTTCAGCAATGGGCTCTGGTGTGTCAGAGATAATGAGGATGACATAGGACAGGACAGGGTTCAGGTCAGCTGTTCATAGGGTCCCTATGAGTTATACTGGGCTTGACAACACCCAGCAACAACAACCATCCATCTTCAAACACCAGCTGATCATAAGGCAGGGGTCCACTTGAGTACGTGGGTGGTTAAGCATACATCATCACTGCCAGAGCTCACCAGCCTCGTGTCCCTACATTTGAATTTCCCTGACATAAGAGGTGGCCCCCCAAACAAGTTACAGATATGGGAACGGGAGACATACAGTAAGTAGTGCTTTCTAAAAGAAACTCCACTACTGATAAAGCAGGTGTGTGAGATTTAAATCAGAGAAAAAAATACTCTCCAAGAGTTAACCTCGAAGAAGGAGTCATCCTGACCCTACAAAGAAAGAAATAAGGGTGAACTAGAATGTATTGAGCACCAGCCACTGTTGTTGTTGTTGTTATGTGCCGTCAAGTTGCTTGCGACTCATAGCGACCCTATGTACAACAGCCCCAAACCCTGCTCTATCCTGTGCCAATCGCACTGTCTTTGATATACTCATCCCAATTACCCCAGTCACTGAATCAATCCACCTCATAGAGGGCCTTCTCCTCCTGCGCTGTCCCTCCACCCTCCCAAGCATGATGTCCTTCTCCAAGGACCGGTCCCTCCTTACAACATGTCCAAAGTATGTTAGACGGAGCCTCAGAATCCTTGCCTCCAGGGAGCCATCCGGTTTGACCCTCTCCAGGAAGAATCTGTTTGTTTTCCTAGCAGTCCATGGGTGAACTAGAATGTATGGAGCACCAGCCACCGGCCAGGCAAAATCCAGGCCCTGGGTAACAAGAAAGAAGCCCTAACATAGCTCATCCCAAATCAGCATGCAATTTACAAAACAAAGTGAGATTTTTTACCTTTAAACATTTAGAGAGATTTGTTCTTGTAGGGAGTCCCATTTTAAGCTTACTGCTCTCACTATTCCAGGATTCCCCTCTCTGTCACAGCCTTCACTGCCCAGAGCAGTCAAGCACTACTTTTCTTTCCTTGCTATTTCATGCCTTCACCATGTTAGTGCTTTAACTCCCAAGGCCTTCCTTTTCTGGCCGACACAAAGGTCTCTTTGAAGTCAGTGATGCCGCCCTACAAAGTGGGACTTACTGCTGTTCCCCACTTCTTGCTCGTATTTACAGTACGGCTGCAGCATCCCTAATAAAAAAATAAACTGAACCGAAACTAAGGAAAGACGTGTCAAAGACAGATAAGCAAAAGCCAGTTCCTGTCTGTATCCATGGCTTAAAACCTATCAGGCTAGATTTTCTAAGGGTTGTTGATCACCGGTTTTTATTATTGTTTGAAATCTTTTTGTGATATTCAAAAGAAATTTGTTATATTGTCAAATTGGAACCAACCCATAGTTGACCCTCCAACAAGGTTTCTGAAACAGTGAGTCACACAGGAGGAGGTTGTCTTTAGCCTGCAGAGCAGCTGATGGACTTGAACCGCATGCGTTAGGGTTGGCAGTGAAGCTCCTTATCCACTAGACCGCCCGAGTCAGCCATGTGCCAGTTTACCACCAAGTTGACTCTTACTCATGACGACTCATTGTGTGACAGAGCGGGGCTGTGTTCCAGAGGGTTTTCAGTGGTGATTTTTCAGAAGTAGACAGATAGCCCTTTCCTCAAAGGAGCCTCTCGGTGGAGGCAGACCACCAGCTTCCTGTTAGAACCCTCATCTGTGTGGTGTGAACCATTCACACCATTCAGGGGTGACTACTCCAGCATGTCGACCCTTTTTCATTAACCCAGTAGTGATGTGGCTGCTATGTTTTCATAAGTGGCATGATTAAAATTAGAATTAGACTCTATATAAGTTGACCTCCAAGATCCCAGA